TGCTGAGTTCCTGCTTCCTGCCTTTTACAGGGTGATGTACAGCCCACTGCTCGACTTCTGGCCTTCCAGCGACACCCGCGAGGCTGCCAAGGGGGCCAGACACAATTTTCCTGGAGGAGCAATCTGCCTGTGCTGGAGCTTGTGGCTCTGCACCACCACAGCAGCTCTGGGGACCACGGATCCCTCCTGCTCCTTGCTCCTGTCCTCCTTTCCAAACCCAGAACGTGCAGTCAGTATTTGTACTGCCAGTTATCTGAGCATCTAGCATCCACGCATCGAGCCTTGCCGAAGGAGTTCCACCGAAACAAGACCTGTGAGAGCCCAGCAGAAGGAGGCTGGAGGGGTTTGGTGTGGGAGGGAGAACCTGCCTGCAGCGAGGCAGCTCCCTGCTGGCTGGGAAACCCATCCCGGGGTGGGGGCAGCTCCGGCAGCTCTGGGGCTGGCTGCAGCACTTACACTGCTGTCTTATAACCACACAGAAATAAATACAAATTCCTCAGCAATTAGGACAAATAACTATAATATTCCTGTTACTACTTCTACTGCTCAGCATTGTTAGCACTGTCTTCTTCCTCACCCAAAATCTGCACCTTGCTAAACATGGTGTTCTTGGAACGTCCCTTGCATGGACAATGCAAATGAGCCTCATAATAAAGTTTGTTTGCTACACATTACAGTATGTGACAAAATAAACACAAACCACTAATAAACTTGTAAAATACCTAATTAATCCTGGCATTAGTGCTCGTTACAGACAGAAAAGAGTCTGAATTCAGCTGGTTTCTGACCAAACCTGGGAAGCAAGTGCCAGCTGAAGTATTCTGTTCTTTTCCCATTTTGCACCTGCCAGTCCTGCATCTCGGGTCTCACCAGCGACTGCTTACTGAGAGAGCAGGTTTGCAGGGATCATGACCACACAAACAAACTTCTGTGAAGGAACAGAGGTAGAAAATCAAACCCACTGCAAAGCAGGAAGAAGAAATACAGATATTGTAGGGGCAGGTGTCAAAGCTGAAAGTGGGACTGCAGCGAGATGAAGAGCAGTGAGAACACCTTGCACTTTTCATTTGCATGTGTTTTGTCAGGCATTAATCAGCATAATAAGCCTTAATTTTATGAGCACAAAATGTTGCAATTCGGATACTTATCTGGTGTTCCTATTAAAGCTCTGAGAAGAATATTGTGGTATGTGTCAGAACAAGACCTGCAGAACAACCTTGGGCAAAAATAAACGTGCACACAGACTCCTGTATGCTTGGCTTCAGTACTCCCAGAGCAATTCCTCTATCCATCTGAAATAGATGCAATTTCAAAATTGCCCATGCATAGATTCTGCTGAGATCTCCTTTATTTAGCATTAATTGTCAGCCCCAATAATTGTCAAATGCTGCTGGGGCCATACTCAGGGGCTACAAACCAGTACAACGTAGTCACTCCACTGCACTGGGGTGGGGGAAGAAAGGAGCAAATCTCTCCAGAGCCACCCATCCCAACCTGGATGTCTGAGTGGTTTTCCTTCCCTTTTCTGAGGGGGTTACACTGGTTGCTTAGGCAGTCGTTGGCTTAAAGTGCTGGGGGGGTTTGTGGTAGTCATTCTCTACCTGGACAATCAAGCAGGGGCCAGACCCCCTAAGGCAGCTGGCATGCACAGGGCTGAGCTAGTCCAGCTGAAGTTCAAAGCTCCAATCCCCCAGTCCTGGCTCAGTGGGGTTTTAATCACCTTGAATGATTGCATTCACTAAACCTTACTTTTTGAGTAACCAGTTCTCTAGGCTGCTTCTCTTCTTGCTCTGGCCAGGCTGAGGCTCCTTCCAGCTCCCTCCTGCTTCCCCTGGCACACAGAGTACATGCAGGCTGCCCAGAGGTGTGTGTCAATCCTCCACAGAGCTCAGCCCAGCAGCATGAAACCCTCCCTGCAGAAACCCCAACAGAGTGGACACCTCTCCTTCACACAACACATCAGTCGCAGTAACAGGAAGTGCAGGATGTGGCCCTTGCAGGCTGGGATCCCAGCTCCACATCCCAGCTCACAGGATCCTGCAGCGACCAAAGCTGACAGCACAGCCAGAGACCTCCACGAGTGGGAGGGAGCTCAGGCTGCTTACCCCAAACAGGCTGAGGCACCTCAGCTCGAGAGGAGGCAGGGGACCTGGCTGGCAGATGCTCTTATTGTGCCCTCCAGCTGCTATAGGGACTATGAAAAACATTCTTCCATTTTGGTACCACCAAAAGAAATCATTCCAGTCAAATTAACTTCCCACTGCAGGAGTCTGGGGCAATCCCAGCAGGACAGTGCTCTGACTCTGGCTCAGAAAGCACCAGAAATGATAACTGGCAGTGATGAGCAGCTGTAAACTGCCTGTCAGCTGCAGGCACGAGAGCCTTGACCCGTGGCTGTCACATCTGCGTGACAAAAGCATTCTGCCCATCCATCTCCTGGCACGGGAGCTCCAAGTTGTCCCGCACAAAGGTGTGTGCTAGGAGAGGGCAGAGCTTTGGAATTGCACAGGCAAGCTCCCTGCTGCCTCAACAGTCCCCGATTCCTGTGCTGGGTCTGATGGAACTCTCTTTGGAAAAGATTGTGGTTTCACTACAATATGACAAGATGAAGTAGGAATGAAGAGCGAGCAGTCTCCTAGGTGAAGACAGATCCTCTCTTCTTGTAGGAGTGATGGCAAAAGACAGTTTAATACATCAAGAGAATAAACTCCAGCATTCCCCTGAGGCATGCTATTAATGTGACATTGAACTAAGGGGAAATGTTCTAATTTTTTGGTGCACGGACACAAAAGTGAGAATACATTTTCCCCAGGTCTGTTTCTAAAGCCACAGCTCCAGCTTGTTGTAAAAGTCTCCTAGTTTTGCTAAAACACACACCAGCACAGGCTGCTCACTGAGTTTGTTTTCATTCAGATGCAAGGCAGTCACTTCTTTGATGTGTATCACAGAGACCTGATTAAAAGGAGAAGAATAACAGAGAGTGAAAGAATGTGGGCTGTACTTGAAAGGTGGCATGTGCTGAGCTTACCAAGGAGCAGCTCACAGTGCCAAACATTCGGATCCTCTGCGGGCTGTGTGGTGCTGGTGGCTGCGGGAACCAACGTCCTGACGCTGCTCTGCCTTGGAACCAGCAAGGGTATCTAGAGTCAACCCCTCAAAGGGTAAACCATGCACCACGTATAGGAAAGAGATGAGAACAGGCCCTAAAATTGCCAGTTCTTTTCAGGTAATTCCATAAATTATAAACTTTCCATCATCCTTGTAACACATTAGTGGAAAGCATCAGAGAACAAAAAATTTTGAAGGCTCTTTAAATAAGCTCAGGTAGGAAAAATTTATCCTGTCCACGGAACAGATCTTCTCTGGTTTGTAAGTATTTGCACAGCTAAATATTTAATAATCAATAAACTGAAATATGCCAGGAGGGAATTCAATCTATGCAGCTTTACAAGAGGATGAAGTGCTCACTGTTCACCTGTCTTTCTCAGGTATTACAGTCCAAAGAGACATTTTTGAGAACGCAGTGACTGTGAAGGGAACAAAGCATCACAAGGGCAATGTTTCAGCCAGGGGAGGGAAGTTTGAATGTGAGGATCAGTTTTACTCACTGTAGTGGAATTTGTAAAAAAAGGCCCCCGCTGACCAAAACAACATCACCCAGAGGCAAAGGCCAAACACTAAAGAAAAGGAACATCCCTCTGCACATGAACTTGCAGCACCGACAGCAGAGCGTGCAGAAGCCCAGAAACTGTTTGTGCTGCGAGGTGACACTTTCATCCTCCAGCTGTGAATTAAGGAGAAATTATCACACCACCAAGCCACCTGAAATCTTTCATCATCTTTGAGCCATTGAGTAGCATGATAAAATCAGAGAGCTTTTGAAAGAGGTTGCATAAGGAGCAATAAAGCAATGCTGGCAAAAGCACAGTGCGAGGGACGGGACAATGGATCCCCTCCGAAAGTTAACATACATTGAGGATCCTCTGAACTGAACACGAAAAAGACCAGACATTAAGAGGCAGAAATACAGTTTGTAGAAGAATTGTGCATGCAGAGACCGACCGCAGAGTGTCACAGGGTCACCCTCCACACCAAGGTGGCCTCTGGGAAGCACAGAAGGGCTGGCAGAAGGGCAGCAGACAGCACACTGCAGCTCCTCAGATGTGCCCGCCTGGCTCCCTGCACCGGGGGGCTGGGGTGGGACTGGGGAGTCCCCAAAACACCTCACAGCTGAGCTCAGCAGCCAGAGAGGAGGAAAGGCAGCGAGGACACCTCAGTAACCTGGAACAAAACCAGCACTGGGAACATGTCCCCTTCATTCTGAGCAAACTGCAGCAGCTTGGGGCCCACCTGCAGCAGGACCACACGTGCCTGGGTGGCCTTGCTGCTGGCAGGGAAGCGGTGGCCGGGCTCTTTGCAAGGACCAAGCCTCTACTGTGCTAGAACGTGAGATGTGAATATCTCACCCAAGCTGGTAGTGTCAGAACAGAGCTCAGATTCTGCATTTGAACCACAATATCTAGTTTTAATCCAGGACAAAGCTGGAACATTCTAACATGACAACAATTGCCAGGAGCCCAGGAGCCAGCCAGCACTGTTTGCCCAAACTCAGGCTCGCACAGATTTTTTGGAAACCTGCAGCTGTGTTTTCAGACACTCTGCCCGAGCACTGAGCCTACCAGCTGAGGAGGAAAACCATGTCCAGGTCTGTCCTGGGCACAATTCTGAGGGGCAGTGCCAGACTGAAGGTTGGTGTCATTTCTTTTGTGGTCTCAACAGTCTGATTTCAACTGTAGAAAGCACCTCAGCTTCTCTCTCAGGATACTACATTATAGTCTCAGGGATCTCTGTGTTGGGAGCAGTGTGTGCAATTACTCTATCACCTGTAATATACGACACAGTAACAACAGAGAGAATGAGCAGATTTGTATTAAACCATAAACCATCTTCCCACGCAGTAGTTTATAGGTCATTGTCTGCATTAAAAGAGTTTCTAATTGTGCCACAATTGACTTTGTAATGCAATTAAAGTATCCTTAATCTTCCCATTATTTTAGATCAACAGCTCTTTGGTAAATTTTTTTTTTTCCTCTTTGACTTCTAGGACTTAGCTGTCCAGTGTGCTGGGCCAGCACTCACTTCACAACAGAAGGAGCTTGGTTTTCAATAAGAATCCCACTGGACTTCTCAGCTAAAGAAACGTGTTCTCTGAGAGCTGCAGGGATACACAGCTTGGGCAATCTAAGCAGACGTGTCATACAAACCTGTGCATATAACTCTTGCACTGCCATGTATAAAGAGAGGAATAGTATAAGCCACATAGAAGATCCTAAATGCACAAATATGAAAGAGCAAAAGAGAGCAATAGTTTCTGACAACAGTGGCTGCAAAATCTTAGCAAAGAAAGTAGATTAATAATTGAGCAAATAAATGCGCAGTGAAACATGAGAGATTTGAGCCTCCTCTTTTCTTTTAGGGAAGAACTGAGAACAAAACCTCTCTGTGTGGTTCTGCCAGTTCCACATTACCTCCACGTTAGCTCCAGCAGGACCCTGAATAAAGCTCTTCCAGCCCAGAGCAGACCCAGGCTGCGCGAGGCAAAAGACGACCTGGGCCAGAAAAAGCAAAGGACACCACAAGAAGCAAAACATTCCTTCTTAAACAAACACCACAAACCCAGCAATGGGCTGGATTGCCTGAGATATCAGCACAAAAATATTGTTCAGCAAATTATTCTTGGCACAAACAACAAGGCTGGTAAATGCCCCGGGAGAAGGAAACACCCTGATGGTGACACCCACTGTCAGAAGTATAAAGAGAGCGAGCTGGGGATGAAACTTTGCAGTCCTGAATCTTATCAGGCTGTGCACCTAAATTTGGGATTGTGGTTAGACTCTTATCCGCTGTCACTATGAGCTGTGGCACCAAGTCCTCCACTAGCAGCACCAGGATGAGCAGCGGAGGTGGCGGCGGTGGTGGCGGTGGAGGGGGCAGCAGCTGTGGGGTGCGCAGGTCCGGTGGGTACTCCTCGGTGTCCACCAGGAAGTACACCTCCTCCGGGGGGGGCGGGGGCTTTTCGGGGAGAAGCTTTGGTGGCGGGATGTCCAGGAGCAGCTATGGAGGGGGCTTTACCAGTGGCAGCTGTGGAAGGATCAGCCGCAGTAGCTACGGTGGGAGAATGAGTGGTGGCAGTTACGGAGGAGGAATGGGCTGTGGAGGTATGGGAGGAGGATTTGGATCCGGCGGGGGTGGCTTTGGGGGCATGGGAGGTGGCTATGGAGGCAGCTTCAGTGGAGGTAGTTTTGGTGGAGGTGGATTTAGTGGCTTTGGGGGTAGCGGTGGCTTTGGCGGTGGCAGCTTTGGTGGTGGCTATGGTGGAGGCAGCTTTGGTGGGATGGGGTTCAGCGAGGATGGCGGCTTGCTGGCCACAAATGAGAAGCTGACCATGCAGAACCTCAACGACCGCCTGGCGTCTTACATGGACAAAGTGCGACGCTTGGAGGATGAAAACAGTCAGCTGGAGCACATGATCAGGGAATGGTACAAAAATCAAGGTCCCACTTCTGCCAGGGACTACAGCCAATATTACAGAACAATCGAAGAACTGCAAAACCAGGTATGATGTGATTTGACTAACTCTGAACAGATTCTCATTAGAACAGCACTTGCAATGGTAACTATTATTTTTCCACTCCTTCTTGAATTTGAGTTTAATTAGTTATTGTTTCCAACAAGGTTTTAGTGGGTATTTGTAAACCAAAATTGACAGCAAAGGTGCTTCTCTCTCTGCAGCTCCTGCAGCACTAGTCAGGCTCCACGCTGCCACGCACACTGACGTGTTTCTGCACTCGTGTTTCCTCCCTCTCTCTGTGTCAGACTGAAAAGACAACTGACTGCATAACATCTGCCCTCTCCCTTCCAGATTGTTTCTGCAAACGTGGACCTTAACAAGATCCTTCTGGACATTGACAACACCAGGATGACTGTGGATGACTTCAGACTGAAGTGAGTCTTTCCCTTCCTGCCTCATTCCATCCTGCCTCCCCTTGCCCCCAGGTGTCCATGCTGCCAGTTGACCTTGGTAGATGCTAGAAACTCTTGGCTCCAAGGACACGATATACAACTGTTGGGGAAAGCAACCTGAGAATTACTTTTGTAGGTTTTCCTTATTATTTTTCTCCAGACAAGTTACTGAAGAGTGCCATGTAAAGCACTATGTTCTCAGTTTCTCCACCCCTTGCACATAGCTTATAAGCATAGTCCTCATCATGTAAATCTCACAGAGAGAAATTCTACTGAAATCAAACAAACCTATTGGAGATGGAAAGAAAATTGGGTCCTTTCTTTTCAGAACTGATCAATGGGATTAAAGACCAAAGAACTTCTCATAATCAAGACAACAAAGAGGTCTGGCAGCACTTTCACAATCTTTGTCTGTCCCTTAGGTATGAAACTGAATGTACTCTCCACCAGAGTGTGGCAAGTGATATCAATGGCTTACGGCCACTTTTGGATCAACTGACTCTAGCCAGATCTGACTTGGAGACCCAGTTTGAATCCCTAAAAGAGGAACTGATCTATCTCAAGAAGAACCATGAAGAGGTAAGGTTCTCTACACTTTAAAATAACAACTAGTGAAAACTCAATGCTCAGAGAATTTCCTGTGGATTTCTTGCACTAGCAGTAACCAAATTTTGGCTGCTGGCCTTGATCATCCAACCTGACACAACCTGGCTTTGATTTTCTGGAGTATGTGGCGTCCACAGCTGCCTGCAAGTGATGTAGTAAGACCCCTACGTCACCATGTGGCAGAGGGACCAGGGAAGTGAATGGCTTTCAGTACAAACTACAATTTCATTGCTGGACTTATGGAAGGAAAATTGGATAGAATATATGGAGGAGTCAAAAGAAAATATTTATACTATCTGCAGTGAAATTTCCCGTTGAGAAGAAAAACATGTAACAGGATTTTCACATACATCTCACTGCACAGAATCCTTACGATGCTGAGGAGGAAGTGCCAGGGTCACTGTGCACGTGGTGCCTGCTGTCACTCCCTGTGAGGGTGGGCTTGGGAAGGGCAGAATTGTTCCCTGGCAGAGCAGGGTGGGTGAGGCCCCTCTGCAGGAGCAATATGGTTGGGGGGGATTTGTGTCCCTTTCCTCTCTCTTACTGAAACAGTGACATTTCTCCTCACCCTCACCCTCTGAGAGCCTGATGGGTTTCTGTGTTTTGTTTTCAGGAAATGAAAGGACTGCAAACACAGTCTGGTGGCGATGTCAGTGTGGAGGTCAATGCTACTCCTGGCATTAACTTGATGGAGAAATTAAACGAAATGCGTTGTGAATATGAGCGGCTCATTGAGAACAACCGGAGAGAGGTGGAGAGCTGGTATGAAACCAAGGTAAGCACAGGGGGCTGGGTTACCAAACCTTTCACAAAGAACTGGACCTATTCACACCCAGCAGAGAAGAGGCAGCTTATCATGTATCATTTAAGGGACATTAGCGTTAAGCAGTTTGCTGTAACAGGTCAGTCCTGGAGCACGGTGGTTCTGCGGTAAAGCCTGTAGAGATCTGTGCTCCAGCAGCAGGGGGAACGACACGGAGAGAGTCAGCATGTGGGAATCACACACCGCCAGCCCACAGCCCAGCCTTCTTCATCCTCATCAATTCCTTTCTCAGTGCTTTTATCATAAACCCACAATGTTTTCTTGTTAACAAAAATGCCTTAATTTTGAATGTGAATTTTTCAGATGGAAGAAGTTAACCAACAAGTCCACTCAAGTGGCCAGGAGATACAATCAAGCAACCAACAGATCTCAGAGCTGAGACGTGAATACCAAAGCCTGGAGATTGAGCTGCAGTCACAAATCAGCATGGTAAGGGCAGGGACTTGCTTCTGCTTCTCCTGTGGCACAGGCTGCATGTGTCACCAGAATGAAAGAATGCTTACACCGAGGAAGTACTCCATCTACAGCTAGAATGTAAACGTACTCCATCTGTAGAGAATGGGATACTGGGTTATTTACCTTCAAATATTCTTCCACCAAAAAAATTACTTAACCTTGACCCATTTCCATAAACATGGCATTTCCTTTTCCACTTGCAGATAGACTCTCTGCAATCCAACCTGGACGACACCGAGCGTCGCTACAGCATGCAGCTGCAGCAGATCCAGGCCATGATCAGCCCCTTGGAGGAGGAGCTGGCCAGCATCCGCTGCGAGATGGAGAGTCAGAACCAGGAGTACAAGATGCTCCTGGGCATCAAGACCCGCCTGGAGCAGGAGATCGCTCAGTACCGGGCTCTGCTGGAGGCAGGGCAGCAGGACCTCGTGTATGTAGCCTGACAAGGAACACAGCCCTGCACGCCACCCAGGGTTGCTCCATTAGTCACAAAGACAGGAAATTAACAGTCTACATTTCCAAAACAGATTTTGCACTGAAATGAGGCTAAGTTAGCTCTCTTGAGCAATTGCCTCTCAGTTTAGAGGCTTTACACATTTCTTGGCAGATCTCTCCAGAATATAAATCATGTAAAAAAAAAGTAATACAGAAATTCTGAACAACTGATTTGGGGCTGGAGAGGGAAATCCATGCCCAGAGATTTATCTCTGTTGCTCCCAGGAGTTGAACAGACAGAAGTCAACTTGGACAAGAGTGTAAGCAGAAAAATGACCATAGATTGCAGAAAAATGACCCTAGTTTTTCCAACCTTCATAAAACTCTCAGTGTGCAGCTCTCTGCACGTTCAGCGGCCGTGGTTCCCCGCGTGCAGTGAGCCTGCTGCTGCACAGTCACACCCCACGGCACAGCAGCAATGGGAAATCCTGCAAGAAGTAGCTGAGCAGAATGTGGGAAAAGCAAAACCTCCTGCTCTTCAGCTGAAACTGAGGGAGAGGTTGATTTTTGGCACTGCTGCAGTTGTCTGGCTTATCTGTGCTGGGTTCAAAAAAGGGGAAGCACAGACAAGAGAAGAGCAGGTTTCTGTGCAGTGTCTGTAGGCAGAACTCCTTCTGACATCAAAAATGTGTTTGATTAACTTTTTTTCTCCTTTCTCTCTCTTTGCAGAATCCCATCAGGAGGAATGGGAGGAGGAATGGGAGGAGGAATGGGAGGAGGAATGGGAGGTGGTAGAATGGGAGGTGGTGGCTATTCTGGAGGAGGAAGAGGAGGAGGTGGTAGCATGAGTGGTGGATATGGAAGTGGTGGCATTTCCTCCGGCAGTGGAATGGGAGGAGGAATGGGAGGAGGAAGTGGTGGAGGAGGAATGGGAGGAGGAGGAATAGGAGGAGGAAGTGGTGGAGGAGGAATGGGAGGAGGAAGTGGAGGAATGGGAGGGGGAAGCAGTGGTGGATGCATGAACGTTGGAGGAGGAGGGGGAGGAAGGATCTCAGGAGGCATCAGCAGTTCCCACTCCTACTCTTCATCTTCCCAGTCTCAGTCCTGCAGGAGTGGTGGCGAAAGCCAAGGTGAGACCTGTTGCAGGGGCACACTGTTCTCTCAGTCCCATCCTCACTAATTCAATCACTGTATTCAATACTCTGCTGGTGGTAAACAGTGCCCAGGAGAAACTCACATTTCTGGGAATTGTTAGATTTACTAAAAATTCTTGCTCACTTGTGTGCAAAAGATCAACTCTGCTTGGGAAACACATCCAATTTCTGTTCAATTTTGTGGGTGACATCAGCTAATCACATAGTTAAAACCCCAGCTACTTTTCTCTGTCCCTCTCACCCCTCTCCAAACCTCATAACAGGGCTGCCTTCAGACCGAGCTGAAGCTTATGGTCACCTGCCATACAACCAAGCTCCTCTTCTCTCTGGTAGATACTGGTGCCTTGGAGGTTCAGTGCTAGTGCTGAAGAAATCAATGCTTTCTTTATGTCTAAACAGGGTGTGGAAGAAGATCGTTTGACTAAGAACACACTGAGGATCCTGCAATGCAAGACCTTTCAAACAGAAAGTGGCCCAAATCCTCTACATTCCTCATGCTCCCAAGGAATGAGAGATGCTCCTAACAGCTTCTCAACGTTCTTGATGCCATGTCTCTAACAAGGTCCATCAGAGCTGCCCCGATGGGCCATCTGCCCACCTGCCAGGTGTGCTGTGCTGCTTCTGCTCAGAATGCTTTGTGGCTTCAACCATTGGCACTTGAGCTACTTGCTTTACAGATTCGACCTGTTTGTTACTTGCATTCTTCTGTATCAGGAAAATGTCGCTAATAAAACTTCATTTCTGTCTGATGCAACCAGAATTCTGAGTGTAGATTTTCTTCCAATCTGTATGTGTAAACATGTAAAACAAAAACACGAAGCCATGCCAACACGTGTCTGCAGGCAGAGAGGTCGATGGGATGTGCTGCCAGCCCTTGGAGCTGGAGGCCCCACAAGAGAAGGGTCCATTTCATCTGGACATGACCTTGCAGGCTCAGCTGCTGGCGCGGGGCTGTGTGCTCAGGGAGGGGCCTCTAGTGGTGAGTACAAGGGAACAGAGAACAGGGGGCGGGGGAACAGGAGCTCACACCATGGATCAAAGTAAAACTGGTCAACACACAATGGTGTGGATGGAGAGAAAAGATGCAAAATTAATTTCCAGAAATACCTGTCACATCGCTGCACAGACTTGGTCAACACTTGGAAACCTTTGGGGAAAACAGAAATACCTGATCTGCACCAAACCAACGTCCATGTCTATAGTACTGTGCTGGCATGAACCAGGCTTTGCAGGCTTCTTAAATGGACTTTGTGCTACACAGATATGTCCAGAGACACCCAACAGGAAGAATGAGACTCTAGCAGTGCTGATTTCCAGAACTTTGCTGTAGATACTTGGATTACACGTCACCTAGAAAGAGATCTGCCGCTCACATAAGCAGCGTGTGGAGGACTGCAGGGTAACCACCTGTGCTCAGGCCCAAGCCCTCTAGAGGGTACCGTGTGTTCCCTCTTGTACCCTGTGCATTACAATCCCTCCACAGACTCCATCCACCCCATAAATTAACCTGGAAGGAGTATTTCTTTTCCTGTCCTGTCATTACCTTGCTGTCAAACCGGCACTACGCGCTACACGACATCTGAGGAGGTTCAGAAGGGGTTAAAATAGGCAGCATGGAGACAGCAGCTAGTAAGAGACCCAGTTAGAGAGGATGCAGAATTTTCAGGCGAAAGTCACTGGTGTGGCTAAGGAAATGAAAAGAGAGTATCAGAGGGGAACAAGCCAAGGGGAGTAAAAGGGCAGCTGGGGTGGGCATCTGGCACCCAGCCAGGTCAACCCAGCACAGGCACATACAGGCACACGGTCTTCAGACAATCCCACCCCTCCCCTGATGTGTCCCCTCAGGTGGAAGGTGACTCAACCCCTTCTCACTCTTCTTTTACTAATTTGAATGAGTTTATTTTTTCTGCTGTAGTATGGAATCTAAAATGCTTCCAGATGGAATTGATCCTCCCTCGCTGTGGATAAGCTGATTTTGAGGTGGTAATTCAGGTTCCACCAGCTCCTTGTGCTTCCTATGCACTAGCCAAATGACTCTCCTGCAGGACTTAGAGTGTCAATATTTAATGCACAGCTGGAAACCTGAGAATTTGTTTCTGTTCAAGCCTTTTCTCCGTTTCACAGAAGCTTGATTACTAAAGATGGAAAAAACAACTCACTGAATATCCCATATTGCATAGGCAGTGGAAAAAACTGCACAATTACTTCTTACTCTCTTTTGTGTTGCAAGATATTCTCTGAAGGTTGGCAAACACAATTCACTGTAACAGGTTCAGATAATTATTGTATTTTTTTTAGATCTAATCTTTGGTACCTTATATTTTTGTCAAACTTATTTTTTACTGCATTTTATAAGGAAATATCCTGAGAAATGGCTATTTTTAATGTGATTATGGAAGTAGGCAATACCAAACATTTCCCCTCTCAATTTCCTTGGAGTCCATTTAAAACAGCTAAAGTGAAATCAACAGCTGTTTGAGAGGAGAAGATTCAGTGTCTGCCCTTGCTAAATGCTACTTTTGTGGCTGTCAATCGGTTTTCTTCAACAAGAAAAATGGCTGTGACCACCAGCTGCACTTGCAGAAGAAGTGAAATACCAGCAGGAGATTCCTCAGTATGAGCAGTGACTGATAACAGAGTAGAAAATTCAGTGTAAAGCTCTCTTCTGTAACAGGCCGGGGAGTGAAGTTTTCAAGGTTAGTAATTTATTGCAGTAAATGAAAGTAGATTTCTAAGTAGCCAATGTAAATTTTGGATAAATTAATGACTGAGGAGTCCCTTGGAGGCTGCTGGTCTCAGGAATCATCGTCTGTGATCACAGCAGGAAGACAGAAGCTGAAATACTGAATTACAGCACACTGAAGCCTGAAGGAGACAGCCGAGCGAGGCGGAGCCGGCCGAGCCCCGCTCCTAGCGACACATCGCCAGACAGTGGGAGCTGGGAGATGTTACAAGATCCAACAAAATAGCCAACAAAGAGCCACCCACATCAAATTATAGTGCATGCTTTGTGTGAATCAACACAGGCATACTTGAACAGAAGGGTAATGGTTCTACTTACCTCAGACAAAATTCCCTTAGCACATCACTTTTGGC